ATCCCTCCCTCCAGCAGGTTGGGCATCTTACTCTTCCACAAATGTTGCTTTACTCATTTCTGTTGTCTTATAATATGTTTATAATATGTGTCTCTGTGTTAGAAAGACCTAATTGTGCTTAAAACTCTCTGGAATCCCACCCACATACAAAGGGCTGTCGGCCTCTTCCTCCTCCTGCAGCCCTGGACGATGTGTGGGAAAGGGACACAGCCATGTGTTTCCTCATCTCCAACTTGTGAAGCAGGCAGGTAGCGTCTTCTAACCCAGGAGGGTACAAGTCAGTCCCCAGGACGGGAGCCTGGCCGACGGTAGCCTCACACTTTATCTTCTTCTGTGTTAGCCGTGTCTGCCCACTGAAACGGAGAGTCTGGAAGGGAGGTGGGGGACATGCATCCTCCCCTGGGTCTTGGCATGTCGTTGGGCAGACACATTGGAAAGCATTTTCAGATAACAGGTGCAGAGCCTTGTATGAAAATTCTTTACTGCCCCTGAGTATTATAGTTAAGTCATCCTCTTAGTATCTTAGCTATAGCTAAACTAACTTTGCCTCTTTCATAAATCAAATAATTGATCTTGTGATGTTAATGTGTCTTGTCACTTAAAATTATTGCTCACAATTTTAACTGCCCGCTAACTGGGAAAACCTCAAAAGAGACAAAAGTTCCCAGGAATACGAAGTACAGGGTACTCTTTTATAAAAAAATATATTTTTATTGATTTCAGAGAAGAAGGGAGAGGGACAGAGAAAGAGAGGAACATCAATGACGAGAAAGAATCATTGAACATTGATCATCTGCCTCCTGCACACCCCCTACTGGGGACAGAGCCTGCACCTGGGCATATGCCCTTGACTAGAATCAAACCCGGAGTCCTTGAGTACGCAGGCCAACACTCTATCCACTGAGCCAAATCGGCTAGGGCCAGGATACTCTTAATGTTCTACCTGTTTTCTCAGGAAAAATAATGGCACAGCTCTTACATAGTTCGATGAGGAATAAATGCTTAATCAGTAGCTGGCTGTAGCTGGGTCTCAGAGAAGCAGTTGACTTTAGCATGGGACTGTTCTGTTTTATTTTGTTTTGTTTTTAAACATGTCTTCCAGTAATAAATATGCTTTATATCCACCTGAAATGCACACAGATAGATATATTTATACTTACTATATAAAAACACAGTCTGATTTTTTTGTTTCATTAAAATAATGCTATTGCTATCCACTGTGTTGATTTTATAGTAACCGACCACATTTTGAGAAAAGCTGGTCTTGGAGAACCCAGGGTCCTGGCTGTGTGTGGGGATGAGGAGGACCAGAAAAGCTCGTGTTCGGGGTCATGGGGAGGTGCCGGTTGACTGAGGGAGAGGACAGAGGTGATGCGGCACGGAGCACCCTCTGTCCCAGGAAGTGAGGGACACAGTGAAGGAGAAAGACCTTCCACCTAGTTTCAAAAACCCAGGCTGAGAAGTTCCTCTTCTTTCTGGAATCCATTCTTTCCACTGGGCCTGAGTGACCCTTGTAAGATGTTGTCTCCTGCTTTTGAACCTCCCAGGGCCTCCTTGTGGTCCTTAGGCTAAGTCCCTATTCCTGAATGGCTTCAGAGGCCATCGGGGCCAGCCCCTGCCTGACCCTGGCCCCAGGCTGCGATTTTCTTGGTCTGGACCTTTCCAGGGCTGTTCACTTAGCCTGGCACGTGCTTCCTCAAAACCCCCTCCCCCAACTCTTCTCCTGTATGCCTCTGGTCTCAGTTAGGTCTGACTGACGTCTTCTGGGAGGTATTCCTTGACACCCTCACCCCTCCGGAGTTTGGATGGGTACTGTTCCCCTCTTCCCTTACCACCCCATAAGACTCTCTGATGTTTACCTGTTCCCACAGCTAGGCTGGTTTCTCCTGGTCAAGGCCTCACACATGATAGACTTGTGTTTGTGGGGTGAGTACGTGAATTAGATCTTGGGTGCAGACAGATTCGGGGTTCAGTGAATGAGGCTGATGAAGAGGCTGCCCTGTGGGGTGCTGATCATGTTTTACTTTATCTTTTGAAGGTGATTCGGATGACTGGCTTCATGAAGGGCCTATACACAGAGGCCGAGATGAAGTCAGATAATGTGAAGGTAGGTTTGAGGGGGGCCTTAATGAATGGTTTGTTTTTTTTATAAGCTGTGTACCTTGGTGTGTGTCATTTATATGCTGATTATGGTTGGATAATTTGTGAATTGCTATGTACTCTTTTTCATTTCATTTTCTCATTTTTGGCAACTGTATTCATGCTAATTTTATTCACTGAGAAATGGGATTAGTGTTGCAAAGGTTAGTGCTAGCACATCAACTAATATTAAAAGCTTTATTGATTTTTTTTGTTTTGTTATAGAGGGTCAGTATTTTTCAATTGACATCTAAAAATAGCTTTTTATGCAAACAGGAACTGTGCCTACCGAACATACTAAAGGTAACACAAACCATTTGAAGTATTTTATTATTTGTATTTTAAATGAAAATCTTTCAGGATAAAGATGCAAAAATTAGCTTCCTTCAGAAGGCCATAGACGTGGTTGCGATGGTCTCGGGAGAGCCATTGTCGGCGAAGCCAGCCCGGATCGTGGCGGGGCACGAGCCCGAGAGGACAAACGAGCTACTCCAGAGAATTGGGAAGTGCTGCCTCAGCAAGGTAATGCTGCAGCCGGCCCTTCAAACTCACCAGCACGAGAGCAGCGATTACAGAAGGAGTTTTGGGTGATGTGTGTTGGACGCTGCACTTTGAATCTGATCCCACCTAATCTGGAACCTCGGAGTTACATGGGGGTAACTTAAAACTGTGTAATGAAACAGAGACCCAGGTTCCACGGGCTTTCGGTGTAAAATTGGGACTCACAAGCCCTCGGCTCCTGGGGCCGGGGGCCTGAGGCTGTGTGCCCAGGCTTCCTGGCTTCCTTTCGGGCCCCCTTTCAGGGCAGGTGACTGTTTCCAACTAGGGCCCAGATAGATGGAGGAACTCCTTTTCTTACTTGGGGCTCATGGAACGTCCCAGTTCTTTGCTTGCCTTCCCAGCCTCTAGTGTCGCTTCCTTCCCTCCTTTCTTCCCTATTGCCCCTCCCCTCTCCTGGTTGTTGTTTGCAGAGCTGTGCTGCCTTCAGAGAAATCCTGTTTCAATTGTACAGGGATTGGAATTGTTACTTCCTGAGATCCTCACTATGGCCTGGAAGCATGGCCTTTGATTAGGTGCAACCTGGTTCTGTTTGCTGAGAAGATGGAGAAGGTCATCCCCAGGGCCTGCCTGCCTTTGTGGGAGCTGGGTAGCCCCCCAGGGGAGTGGGGTTGGACCTTTATGAAGGGCTAGCTAAAAAAGCCCTTTGTGTACCTGGTGGGTTATGGGCTGGGGGCCAACCTTCATTGTTGCTGATAGCAGCAGTGGTGGCTACTAGGAGGCCTCAGGAGAGCCTCTCTGGTCTGTGTCCAACTCACAGGCTTGGAGATGCAGAAGCTGAATTTGCCAGTGTGGGTGGTGGGGAGAGAGAATGTTTCTGTCCCCAATCCCCACCCCATGTCCTTCATGGTGCTTCTCTTTCTAGAAAGCAAATCTGACTCCTGTCTTCCCTGCTGAATCCTTTGAGGCTTCCTGTTGCCTGTGTGTGTGTGTGTGTGTGTGTGTGTGTGTGTGTATGTGTGTATGCGTGCACACGCATAGACAGCTCTGTGATGTGGCTCATAAGGCCCAGAGAGACCTGCTGCTATTCCCCGTCCTCCAGTTCTCTCTTGTCTGCTGCACCTGTGCCTGCCCTGAGGTCTCCTGCCCTGGTTGTTCTCCCGCCTCCCAGTTTCATCTGGCAGCAAAGTGGGACCCCTAGCCTTTCCTCCTCCCAGGCTGGCTTGTGTTCCCATAGCACACACATAAGCACAGCCGTTTAACCATTGTATTTAGCCATGTCTCCCAGAACATCCCCTAGTATGCAGTATATCTTCCCGTACAGCGGTGGCCAACCTTCCGGACCTCACGGACCACTGGTTGGCAACCGCTGCTCCAGTATATCCTCGACCCCGGGTCTAGTGCCTCCTTGTGGAGAGAGTGCGTGAGTGTGAGGTGTGCCCTACCTCTGGCCGGTGGGCGGGGTGCTGCAGAGGGATTCTCTCATTTCCTTCCTTCAGGCCTTTAATGCTGGGTGTCTGTGACCCTGTAGGGACTGGGAGGCATTCATGGAGTTGTCCTTGAACAGTGTGTCCACACTTCAAGCACGATTCGTTGAGCTCGGGTGGGTTCTGCTGTCCACACTGCAGTGCTGCTAGTGTACTGCCAGCAGGTGGCATACTTTGTGGCGACAGCACTTCCTCTTCACGTCTTATCCTTCGAATCTCTCTGATAGACGAGATCTCTGTAACGAGCTGCCTTTGAGTTCATGTTTGTTACATGTGCTAATCCCAATTTCACCCGCATTTCATTTCCTCCCGTTGGGACAACAAGCTGTCCAGCGATGATGCGGTGAAGAGAGTGCTAGCTGGAGAGAAGGACGTGAAGGGAAGGGCCTCACTGACGTCGAAACCTCAAGAACCGGACAACAGGAATGTGAGGGAAGAGGAGCCCAGGGTTCCTAAAGATGAAGAGGTGATTCCGAGGCGACATATTGGAGCATGAGACAGTGAGTCTTTTTGTAGGTCAGGCAATGACATCTGTAAATGAGCTTGCTATTTGACTTTTTTTCTCCAGGGCAGAAGAAATTCTGAAATAAATGAGAGAAGTACAAGCAGAGATCGCAAACAAAAAGAAGAATTGAGAGAAGAAAGCAAACAGAGGGAAAAAGAAAGGGACAAGGAGAAGACCAAGGAGAATGACCGTGATCGACATAAAGACTCTGAGAGAGACAAGGGCCGCGAAGGGGAGAGAGAGAGGACCAGGACCAGGGCCAGGCCTGACAGGGACAGAGACAGAGGCAACAGGGACCGAGACAGGGATGTGGACCGTGCACGAGAGAGGAAAAACGAGGGAGGAAAAGAAAAGGAGCGGTGGAAAGACAGGGAGAAGGAGCGTGAGCGAGACAAGGGCAGGGACAGGGATAGGGACAGGCGGAGGGTGAAAAACGGGGAGCATTCCCGGGACCCCGTCAAGGAAAAGAGCCGAGAGCATGATAAACCGGAGAAGAAGGTAAAGTCCTCTTTGAAAGTGTGAGCCTCTAACTTAGAGTTCGTGGTGTTCTCTAAAATGATTTTTGTTTTCATTAGAATGTGACTAGGAAACTGGTTTTTGAATCGCCAATTTAAAATTAAGAGGGTCTGGGATTCTCAGTAGAAACTGGGAGAGATGCCAGTTTTTTGCCGGGTGATTTCAGATTTGCTCTGTGCTGTGAGTGGTGTTTGGGTGTTTTTCTGAAGTCTGTGGAACGGCCGGGACGCAGCGTTGTGATTAGTGTTCACAGGCTGGCTCAGTGGTGTGTGGGCCTAGGAGCCTGGCTGTGGCTGCATTCATTAAGGATTATGGCTGCTTCCTGAATCTTGTAGGTATTAGTGGGTAAGTACAGTAAGTCCTTGGTTTCTGTATTTCTTGTTTAGTTAAATGTTCAGATAAATTTAGGATTGACCAGAAAATTAGTTTGGTTTCAGTGTTTTCTGAATGTACAAGTTGCTTTGGGTTCTCTATGGATGGTATAGGTGTCCCGTCAGGCTAGTGTTCCAGCTGTCTGTTCTCCTGGGGACATGATGTGGTTCTAGAGTGTTCTGGGAAGAAGGTCGTGGGGGTCTTCTGGCCTCCAGCTGCTAGAAAGGAGAGACCCAAGGTCTAGAAAGGTTCAAGGTCAGTTCAAGGTGGTGAGGGGCGAGGCCTGAGCTGTGCTGCCTCCAGGGACAGCCCTCTGGTTTTGTAGCATGGTGCCTCAGGGTGCTGCACAGGGGGCCCAGGGGTAGATGGGCCTGGCTCTGCAGGAGGCCTGGGCACTGCACATAGGTTTGGTTAGTAATTGAGTTGTGATCTACTGGGAGCCTTGGGGTCCCCACGGGCCCTGGAGTAATATAACCTATGGCAGGTGTCATGAAAACCAGGGTCACCGCAAGAGTCTGAGAAATACAAAGACATTCCCCATGTTCTCTCACGCATCAATGTTCTTTCTCTCTCTTCCCCTCCCTCTCTCCTTCCCTTTCATTCCCTCCCCTCCCTCCCTCTCTCCCTTCCTCTCTCTGAGATCAATTAAAAAAGAGAATGTTTAAAAAAAAAAAAGACATCCCCCATGTCTTGCTCTTTCCAGAGGTCTAAGAAGTTTGTCACCAACCTGCTTTTTCTGAGGTGCTGGCACATTCTGCTGTGTTTTACTGTGCGCCAGGCAGCGAAGTGACTGGCCAGTGTTCCCACCTGTTCTGTTCACTACACTTGCTGGTGCTGTGATGAGGTTTTGACGGAGAGACAATTCTAAAGAG